AGTATCTATACTGGGAAAGAACTCACTACTCTGGTAATCGTTAGGGAGGGATGGAGTTGAGTAGGGGTGTATCTCATCTATTCTCTACACTCTTGGGGTGATATTATCCCCCATCTTAGAGTTGAGGAAGTTGACACTTAGAAAGATTAAGTAACTTCTCCTAAGTGACACAGAAGGCATTAGAGAGAACTGGGGTTTGAATCCTGGTCAGAATCAAAGCCCACACCTTTCCACTCTGATACATTAATCTCTCCATGTGCTTTCTGAATCTGGGCAAATCCTGGTTAGATCTCCCCAAGGGTAGACACAGAGATGAGAAGCTCAGAAGGGATGACAAGCTAGGCCAGCAGAAGGGAGGGACAGCTGTGGTGATGAGAGGGCTTGAGGAGCTGGGGCCACCCATCTAGGCCTCCACCTGCCCTACCTAGGCCTGGGGCACCTTGAGGTGCTGAAGACCAGAGACCGAGAAGACGGGGTAACCAAAGAGAAGATGTGAAGGGAAAGGGGAAGACAGCTTAGAGAAGTGGAAGATCAGTAGAGAGAGGAAGCTATAAAGTTAATAAAAGTCTTATACTTGCAAACATTCATTGGGAGTGGGGGTAGATATTGCTGTTACTTTAAAAAAAAAAAATCCAGAACACCTACCTCTTTGGGACGTGCCTTTAGTTGTCTGTAATTTGTCCTTTCCTTCCTTCCTTCACTCATTCATTCATGTAGGCAGCGAGTCAATATTGACTACGTGTCTAACTGCCAGAAGTTAAACAGTCTATCGAAGGCAGTGTGTCAGTGGTTGCTAATAATTTTCTTTGGGGTGGATTCCATTTAGGGGACTAGCCAGATGACATTCATAGCCAAGTCCAACGCTGTTACCTTGGGCTGGAGCAGGCCACCTAAGCTCACTGCCCACATGTCCCTTATCCAGCTCCCCATGTGGGCAAGCAGGGTGGAAAATGTTCATCTGGGTTCCACCCAGTGCAGTTTAAAATGCTCCATGAGGAGCTACAGATTTGTCCCTACTGGCAGCAGCCTTGGAAGCCTTGGGAGCACTCAAGGGCTGATGCCGGTCGGGTGGTGGGGAGGCTGTCGTCTGTCATCTGTCTGTCTCTACCAGTGCTCTGAGTGGGGGAGAGGTGCAGTCCCGTTCAGAACAGGACAAAGGTCTGATCTTTAGAAAAATCCAGAAGGACCTGACAGCTATTACATGAAAGGTCCCAATAAACACATTCTTTTTCTTATTAGGATCACAGAGAAAGAAGGAGGGAGAAGGGAGAGGAGAAAAGAAAGAGAAATGCTGACTATAATAGTGTGGATGAAGAGCTGAAGGACTTTGAAAGTGCTGCTGGGAATATGTCCAGTTGCCCTGGAGAGGTGCTAGAAGAGGCTTGGGGCTTGCACTGGGAGCCGGTTCCACCCTGAGATAAGGCCAGGAGAGGCCACGAGGGCCAACCTCCCCCTCCCAGCTGCTGCAGCAAGGGCACAGCTGCCCAAACGGCCAGCGCCAGCTGGTGGACTTCAGTGCAGCACAGAAAATGCTGAGGGAAAACCGAGGTATTTACCAAGGAAACGACTTGATATCAGGGACTTTTGTTAAACTAAATTTGAGTTGATGTGTGTAGAAGCTGGGTAGTGGGTACAGGGGGTTCACATTATGCAAGTATCTCTGCTTATGGCCATTATGCTTGAAATAAAAGTTTATAAGGATAAACAAAAGGTCTTTTACGAATAGGGGAGTTAGGAAGTTACCACACACTGCAGACAGGATAATAGCAGAGGAATAGAAGCTGTAGAATGTAAGCAGAAATTAATGAGAATTGTGTCTTGGGTTTTCTTAAATAACACTGCAAACCGGGGGCTCTTAACCAGGGGATGATGGATGAGCTTCAGGGATCCTGAGCTCCCTGTAATTGCACACAAAGCGATCTGATAGTTTTCAGCAAGTTTTCAAAGAATCTATGACTTTCCCCTCAGAGATTAATAAATGTTATTCTCTCTTAAATGTGCCCGGCATATATTAGCTATTTGCTGTGTGGTTTTTAAATAGAGGATTTGCTTTATAGAACTGGGGTGTTCACATCTGGCTCCTGTGTCTTCATCTCCCCTCTCCATCAACCATACTAGGAAGAGGGTACAACTGGCTAGCTGGCTTTGCAGCCCATCTGTCTGCTGGCAGTTCCCAGGATTCTTACAGCGCTTTCTGTGGGGGCAGGAGAGGTCTGTGTCCCAGAGACAAGTGTACTCGGTGGGGAGGTGGATGCAAAGAAATATGGTCAAGAGATAGAGTAGATGCAAAGAGTCTGGGGAGGTTAGTTGGGGAATCTTTCCAGGAGGCTTCTTGAGGTCTGAGAGAGTGACAGGAGGTTGTCACCCTCAGGCAGGGTGAACCCACTGGCTTCAGTTGCAAATATCCAACAGAAATCATAGTTTTGAAAAGTCTGAGGCTTAAAACCTCCAGTCATTTCCCCTCACTCTCCAGAAAATTCTTTATAAAACACCTTTCCATTCTTCAAAGGGCCCTACTGACACCTAGTCTGACATCAGCCCCTTGAAGCTAATTCTTCCACAAAGTCAGCTGCCCAGATTGGACAGAGCAGGCCAGCATGTGGGCTTGCAACACTGAGGGCCCCATCAGTGCCTCTCTCTAGAAACCATCTCCACATCTAGGTCATGGCATGGAGGCCTGCTGCATCCATCATACGGGAAGGTCTTTGTCTCCAGGCTAACCCTTCCTTGGCTACTGTGAGAAACGTGGAAATGGCCCCTCACACTGGGAAGAGAGAAGGGGGAGAGAACAAAACATGGGGTCCAGGTATTGCTTTGTAGCTTAGAGCTCTGAGCTCTGCTACTATTCTGCTTCAGAGAAGATGGCGGGGACTGAAGCCTTTCCCTGCTCTTCCATGGGAGGGCAGACAGGCAGGCAGGCAAGGACCCTTGCCTCCCAGGGACAGTCTTCTCTCCCCAAGGCTTCTGAAGCCACACAGCTCCATGCTCCTCACCCAGCAGCTGTACTGATCTCAGATGTGGAGAGACTCTTGGAGTGAGTCTGTCCATTCCCAGGCCAGACTGCAGGGCTGAAGGTTGGGGCTGAGGGGAGGGGCAAGGAAGGAGTGGGTGAGAGAGAACTGAGAAGATGGTTAGTCCCAGGACAGGGCCTGAAGGAGGCAGGTGGCGGTGTGCTCTCCCTCATCTGGAGCTGCCCCTCCTCTATACCAAGTCCTGGGTCACATCTTTCCTCCTTAGGAACCCTTTCCCCATTCCATGTACCTGTCTATCTCATGTCTACATATGGGACAGGCAGCACCCCAGCAAACTCCTCAGGGCAGCGCCCTATGTCCTCCTGGACTCCCTTCTCCACCAGGACCCTGACTCTGGGGCGTCATTCAGAATCTTCAGCTTCTCCACTCTTGAGAACTGCCAAAACAGCAGAAGGTGCAGAACCAAAAGCTAAATGTTCAGTGGTCAATTCAGGGTGGCAGCCTCATTCGTCTTCCTTCATTGCGGTCCTGTCCCCCCACTACCTCCATACCCAGGGTGTCACATTGCTTGGTTTGCCTCCAGGTCAGATGGCCTCAGTTTCCTCCTTTCTTTTATGTTCAGGCACCATGGCCATCCCCGCCCACGGGACCCAGAAAAATAACTTTGCAGTGGGGACTTTCGGAGACACACAGTCCAGAGAGATGTTTCCTGGGGTGGAGCAGGACCTCCTTGTATTGTCCCCATCACCCCACCCCTGAGGCTCAGAGATTCCAGGAAGAGAAGGACCAAAGCTATTTCTAGTGGGTTAGCCTTGGGACTCAGCTGGCCAGAATCCAAGATGCACAGACCAGTGAAGAAGTATTTTTTTTTAAACTGTGCTTTATTTAGGGCTAAGCTGGAGAAAGCGTCATCCAATAGTTACAGAAGGTTACAAGGAGTTTTAGGGAGTTGAGTGTGAAAAGAGCAGTTGTACTGAACTGCAGCTGTTTTTTTTTTTTTTTTTTTACAACATCTGGACATCCTAAAAGGAGGAGTCAAGAGAAATCAAAAAACCAAAAAACAAACAAACAAACAAAACAACAAAATAGGCAGAAAGAAAGGAAAGGCAGGAGGCCTGAGAGGAACCAGGAATTTGTTCTTCTAATGGAAAAAAAAAAAAAAAAGGTAGGTCTGCGAGCTTCCCGGCCTCCAGATGAACTGGACATCAATGAGGTGTCAAGGCAGAATGCCAAACCAAGTCTTCCCAAGGGTGCAAATAAATTATAATAAATATGTTATACTTTAAAATATATGCGTTCTTAAATAATTCAGTGTTTTTCTTCTGATTCTGAGTTTTTTAAGCAATGTCTTTAACTGCTCTAAAGTCATTTACCAAAGATAAATATCGTGCTTTCATTAAATAGTTTTCCTTGTTTTTTTCTCTATCATTACAATTAAAAGTCCTACAAAATATGCAAATTTATTTACAGAAAAACAGAGCCGGCATCATTTAAACATCCCTGTTTTTCAAAATTCCTTGTAAACAGTTTCAGAAATTCTTCAAAGATTGTTTATTTTTCTCTCTCTTTGTTAAGGTTTGTGTGTGTGTATGTGTGTGTGTGTGTGTGTCGTCTAGTTGTTTTAAGATGAAAGTTCCCAGTTCTCCCTTGCCCGGAAAGTCTCTGGAGCAAGCATGGAAGACAGAGGAAGCAGAAGGTGTCGAGGGCTTGCGGGGAGCGGGCGAGCGCGCGCGGCTCCCGGAGCAAGGCGGCGGCGTGGGCGGCGGCGGCGGCGGGCGAGGCGGCCCTTCCCGGCCCATGGCGCGGCCTCCACCGGCGGCGATGGGCGGCCAGGGGCGCGCAGGAACGCGGCGAGTCCGGCCTGGCCCTCGCGGACAACGGCGTCCGACAGCACTCGCGGGGAGAAGGGATTGATGCTCAGTCTAAACTCTACAAAAGTACAGTCCTACAACATCTGGGATTTTAGCAGTAACGCTAACTTCTATAGGATTTTTTTTTCCTTTTTTATTTATTTTTTTATTTTTTGCTTTCCTCTAATTTTTCTTCTATTATATAGGTATTTTAAACTTTTCCTTTTTTAAAATTCTGTACAACTATTATGATTTTTAAGAGGGGGGTAAAGAGTTAGAAGCATTTACAGACTTTCACAACAATGACCTTGCCTTGTCAGTCCCTTGTTTCCCCTCCTTGTATTCTCACACTTCACGGTTGATGAATTTGAATACTTTTGTTGCTTTCCCCAAATATCCACCAATTTGTTCGTCTTAACAGCTCCATCCAGACATATAATACAGAAAACCATAGGAAAGTGTCATAGACTTGAATGAGGGTAATCAAAGCGCCTCTCAAAGTATCAAAGAACTATTATCTTGCTGTTTTAAAAGCATTGAAGCATTATTTTTCCTTTTTTTTTTGTTTTTTTTGTTTTTTTTTTAATTTTTTATTACATTTTTCATAGAATCGCTCTAAGCTGTTTCAAGAACAGCCATGAGGCAGGAAGGAGGCTGTCCTCCATTCCCCCTCTATTTGACAAAGAGCTACACATCTGCAATAAAAAGTTTGGTCCTTTGGTCCCTAAATAGCTAAAGGAATGACAGAGATGCTCAGTGGCAGCCTCCCAGCCGCCCCCTGGGGACCAGGCCCCGTCGCACCGCTTGCCCCAGCCTGCCTCAGGCGTCCGTGGGCTGCAAAAGCCCCGGGATCGGTAAGCAGCGTCTCCTCCCAGTTCCCAGCCCTGCAGCCTCCCCGTCTGGTCTCATGTTATTTTGTTTTAAAGTTGCCTTTTGTGTGTTTTTTTTCCTCATTTTTCTTCATCATCTTCTTCTTTATGTCATATATATTTTTCCCCCAAACACGTGCCCTCCGAACTCCACAGACGCTATACTTTCCTTGAAGAAATGTTACAGTCACACAGACAGTGTCTGGAGTCTTCAGCTTGATTGATATTGGCTGATATGTCAAAGGTGTCATCCAACAGTTCTCATTTATAAATATATAGAGAGAGAGGTTTGTTTTTTAATGTAGCCCGTTCAGCATCCTGCCCTAAAATGAAGAAAATCAGGGCTGATTAAGCCAAGAGGGAAACCCAAAATGCATTCAAACACCAATAGGAACCTGCCTTAGGGGTTAGGATGGGAGTTCTAGGGGATGGTGGGAGGGAAGGAAGAGAGACAAGTATGAGAATTAGTCATGATCATGATACATTAAAAAGAAATTTACTCTTTTATTCAGAGTAAGAAACCACTGAGTGATGTTGGAGCTGAGGTTTAGTTGTTGGGAGAGGACTCTTGATTTGGGTTCCTGTGGAGTTCAGGATTGGGGGATGGTTGGATCTAAGGGAAGAATTTGGGACTGTGGGATATGAATTCATAATTAAACTTGTCTCTGAGGGATCTAGCCCAGATACAATATGTATACAGAAGCCTAGCAAACAAGAGAGTAAAAATCTAGCAGCCCAGCCCACTCCTCCCCACGTGAGGGCCCGAAGGAGGACAGATCCATGACTTGAATTTCGTAGAATCCTTACCCAGTTTCCAGCCAACCACTTCCTTCCCCAGGTCAGTAACTATTTGCGAGGCTGTGTATATATATATATATCTGGATATATGTGTAGAATATATTCACCTGCACATATGTGGATATACATGGATATGTGTGTATGTGTATGCATTTATACACACATACACACACACAATACTTTTCTCATACATGCCAGGGAATTTAGAGGAAATTCAGAACTTCAAGGGAGTGGACGGGAGAACCTAAAAAAAGGTCAGAACAGATTTAATTATCAAACTTAAAGAAATTAACTTAGACAGTTCCTGATTTTGTTTTGAATGGTGGCTTTTGATGTTTTGTTTTGCTTTAAAAAAATCATGATCTGACTAGAATCAGAAGGCAAATGCTTAATTGTTGTGAATTAACAAATGAGACTCATCTCCATTCTAGCAAGCAGCTTCCACTTATACATGGGGGTGACTGGTTACATCGAGAAAGTTAGAACTGCAAAGCCCCCAGTTGAGGGGACAACGTCATGCGTATATCAATCCATGCTGGCAGGTTTTTCACACTGTTGATTCAACAAACAGCAAACCGTACACAGCAGTCTAAACAATTACAACACCAAATAAAATAATAATAAAATTAAAAAACACTTGTCAAGGACCCTTTTTCAGTTGTAAACAAAAAGGTGCATTTTGCTTTTGTCAGTAGTGTTTCTTCCAAACCAACCAAAAAAACCCTCCCAAACCCCCAGCCCCAGCCTCCCCTCCCCACGTTGAATTTAGCAGAAGTGGCTACAATACAAACCTTACAATTGTTACCGGGCTCTCTCTCAGAGGCCTCTGGCTTTGTTCTCTAGTTTTTTGGTTTAGAAAATTTTAAAAATCATTCTGTTGCTGTTAGATATTTGTTTTTTTGTTTTTGGTTTTTTTTTCCCTTTGGAGTAAGATTAAAATAGCCTAACTGGAAAAAGACCAGACCTAAGAAAGTGTCAATTGAAAAAGGCCCCCAAATTTCTAGAAAAAAATAAAATCACAATATTTTCAAGTGCAAGTAAATCAACCACGCATATATATTTTTAAGATGTTTTCCTTATTTTTAAGAAAAAAAATAATGGTTTGCAAAGTTAAATGATCCCATGTTGGATAATTCAGGAATTCATCTTTGACTATTTTTTTTTTTTGTTCTTTTGTTTTGTTTTTTTCTCTATGTGACATCTAGAGAAGCATAAAAAAAACGCTGAACAAGAAAAACCAAACAACAGAAAGTAAAACCACTGCAAGCACCAAGAACGAAACGAAAATGAGCACAGCAAAAAAGATTGTGGCAGCACAAAAGTCAAGAAAATGCACGTGTGATCATGACTGGCCAATCATTGACTGATACGACATCCAAGAAAACGCTCCAATCACAGCACCTCCACGAAACTTGACGGCAACTGTCATGCAACCGATTCTTAGCCTTGTTACATGACGCCATCATGTCACACTGTGAACTTTGAGTTGATTTGAACTTACGGATGGGGGACTTTTCTCCACTCTCATGTGATTACGTGAACTTTATTCCTAGCTCAGCGCGAGACTGTGGTGGATTTGACTGGCCCTGGTTGGGTTGTTGGAATTTGATTGAATGACAAAAGAAGAAAAGATTTATATATATATTTATATATGTAGAGAGAGAGAGAGAAAGAGAGAGAGAGGACAAGAGAGTGTGGGTAGGGGAGGAAGAGGCAGGGCAGGTGGGGCAGGGTGGGGAGTGCGGAGGGCAGGAGAGTCGGGTTGGGGGTGAAGAAGGGCGAGGAAGAAGTTAAAACAAAATGAAAAGGAAAAATACTTATACAGCACCAGACCACAGCATCAATCTAAAAGCTCTGATGAGAGAACAGCAGTCAAATCATAAGAGAACTGAAAAGAACTCAAAGGATGGAGGAAGCCAGCAGACAGACATGGGCACGTCAACACACACACACACACACATACATACACACACACACTTACACACACACTTACACACACGCACGTTTGTTTACGCGGACACATGATACACTGTGAAACAGAAGCAGAACCTCACACAGGGCCACTGAGGGCATCCATCATGCGTTGGGGGGGAGGGGCATGGGTGGTTTGGTGAAGGGGCCAGAAAAATATAAAACAGCCCCTCAAACCACCTTGACTGGCAAGCGACCTCAGGGAGCAAGCTCTCTGCTTTTGTAAAATTCACCCTGATTCTTTCTCTCTCCCCAGGGTGTGGAGCTCTCCTCACCTCCCCAGCTTTCTGTGGCTGCAGCCTGTGGACCAGCAGGGGAAGCCTGTCAGGGTGGCCCTGACTGGGGGGGTAGGTCAGAGGCTAAGGTGACTGCTCTGTCCATCCATAGCACAGGCCCCACAGCGGCAGCTCAACCTCCCACCCTCCCCACCTCGTGGGTCCACGCTGGACACTGTCCCAGGCTGCAAGGGCGCCCACTGCGGGATGTTAGGATCCTCCCCCCTTCTCTTCTGCCTCAAACCTCTTTCCTCAGAACCTTTGGAAAAGAAGCAAGTTCTGTTTTGAGATTTAGAGTAAATTTCATTTGCTCTTGCAATTCTGTGAACATGCCTTGGCACTACTGATTCCATCTCACAATCATCTCCTCACACCCTTTGCTCACACACTTTGCTGAGCCCCCAAGGTGTCCTGTGTAACCAACCGAGGCTGCTTCGGGGCACATGAAGCCCCTTGAAGGTTCTGCTGCTTTGACTCCTACCAGGGCCATGTGGAAGGCCAGGGGTATCCTGCAGGGGGCGGTGGCCTTGCCTTTTCAGACCCTGTTGCTCTCTCTCTTGTTCCGCTGACCTCCTCTCTTCCCAGAGCCCTTGACTCCTGCACCCTCTATGAATAGCTTTCTAGACTGTCCCATCTCACAGTCCTTGGCTTTCTGTTTTCTTTACTTGTTGAGAATGAGCTTCCTTCCCTATCAGGAATTATTTAGCTTTGAGTTGTATTCTCTACCCCTCACCATTTGCTTCATCCCTGCCCTGGGATTTGGGGTCCCCAGCTCCACCCCTTCTCCATGGTCACTGTGAGCTTGCTGTGCCAAAGCCTATGTACCAGGTTGATCTGCAGGGTTTCCAATCCACCAGGCTTCTACATGCAGCAGACTTCCGCTCTCCATCATGAGCTTTCCTTCAGGGAGGGCGGCAGGGAGGCCTGGGATTTTACACTGTCACCATGGATGAGTCGTGCAGTGGCTGAGCCCAAGCCCAGCCTCCCACTAAGCCTTCACAGAAGCATTCCCTGGACTCTCTTCCTCTGCCACCCAGCCCTGCCTGCCCACTCCTACTGGGTCCTTTGTTCCTCCCACATCAGATCTTCCTCATTTAGACCAGGACCCATTACTACCCACCAAGGTCTAAGAAGCCATCCTCGGCTGGAAGTGCAGTGGGTCTTGCACTGCACCTGAGACCCACCCAGGCCAACTGGTGGGTCCCTCAAGCATGGGAGAAGTGGTCTAAAGAACTAAGGACTGCATTGCCAGCAGGTGTCTGCTACGGCAACTGCAAGTAAGGGACTCTCCCCACCTCTACCTCCTGACCCTGAGCCCCTCACAGGCATTCACTTCTTCCCACTCTGCTTGTTCCTCTGTCCTCTCCTAGCTTGTTAGTACCAGCCACTCTCCTGGGGACCTGGACTCTGAAGAGCACAGCTCCTCTTCTCAGAGTTCAGGCCAGGGAGGTTCTCATGCACACCCTCCTCTCTCACGTGCACTTGGCCTTGGATGCATGATACACCCTCATGCTCATCCAATCCCCAAGGAGCCTCCCCCAGGACACTACACATGCATAGCTGACCACTCTCTTCATCAGGGAGCAGGTGCACAGCTGCCTGCAGCAGAGGACCCTTCCCAGTCACTTTCTTGGTGGGGGAACTTACAGAGCACAGCCCTAGATGTGGCAGGAGGACCACTGACCTGCATGAGGAAGCTCTAGTCAGGTCTGGGAAGCTTTGACTCACCAATCTGGGTGAGGAAATTAAGGCCAGACTGAACCAGTTCACATTCTAGGTCCTAAAACCAGCTGGGCTCTAGCCAAAGAAGGCCTGGGCCTGAACCTACAGTCAGACCCAAAGCACATGTCTGGGCAAAGCTCTGCCCAGATGCTGTGCAAAAGCAATTCAGAGCCAAAGCCTAGGGTCTGGGACAGGCCCCCAGTGAAGTCAGACATGCTGTGTAGTGTCCCCTCCCACCACAGACCCTCAGTGCCAGGAGCCTAGGGCCCAGCTGCTGTTGGGGCCCCATATGTGCCAGTAAGCTCAGTGGAAGGAAAGAGACTCTGAGCTGGGCAGGGGCAGGGAAACACTGCTGGCTATGAACCTGGGCATGCCCATATTTTTGCCCTCTCTTCTTGCTTTCGTTTCTTTCTTCTTAGTTTCCCAGTAAAGATTACTTGGAGAACCCCCCTTCATAGCAGAAGACAATGAGCCCAAGCAGCCAGAGGGGCAGAGGCAGCAGGGGAAACAGGAAACCAGCAAGGAAGAAGAGCCACACTGACCCGCCCCATCCCACCCTGCCTAGGACTTCCCTTTATGAAACCAAAGCCCAGCCATGCCCCATAAGGATGCCCTGCCTAGGCTGCTTTCCTTTCCCAGACCTACCCCACTCCCTTGGCCTTGGCCTTGGCCTTGGACCACCATGTCTACTGGGCCCTCTATCATTACCTCTGCAGGGCAGCCACCCTGACCCTGAGACCCCCCCCTTGCCGTTCCCTCTTTGCTCCTAGGTCTGACTGATCCCCGGGGCCCCTGTTCAGTTGGCCTTGTCTTTCTAAGAACTTTGACCTCAGCTCAGGCCTTAGCACTTGTAAACATCCTTCACTGACCTGTGACATCATGTAGTCTCTTAGCTGCATTTTTGTGCCTTTTCTTCCCTTGGTGCAGTTGAAGAGTAGCTGCTTCTCACAATAGTCCCTAAGCCTGCCTTGACAAACCCTTATCTCTTCTTAGCACCCACTTTCTGATAGATCTTCTAACAATCTTGGGTTGGAAGGCCTGAAGCGGCTGAAAATAATGCCGGCTAAATGAAAATTAAAGGTCAGCTTTATCACATCATACTTTTTTATTTTTATTTATTTTATTTTTTTTTTTGAGACAGAGTCTCATTTTGTCACCCTGGGATTGAGTGCTGTGCAATCATAGCTCACAGCAAACTCAAACTCCTGGGTTCCAGTGATCTTCTTGCCTCAGCCTCCTGCATAGCGGGGACTATAGGCGCTACAATGCCTGGCTTGTTTTTTTCTATTTTTAGTAGAGATGGGTCTTGCTCTTGCTCAGGCTGGTCTTGAACTCCTGAGTTGAGGTGATCTGCCTGCCTCAGCCTCCCAAAGTGCTAGGATTACAGGTGTGAGCTGTGGGGCCCAGCTGCATCATAGCATTTTAAAAGACTGCTTACGCGGCTAAGCCGCCAGCCACATACACCTAAGGTGGCGGGTTC